GCTTCCGCCTCCAGCAAAGTGCTCGAACTCAGATCAACCTTCGTTACAGCTCCATCTCCAGCTCTCCTGTATCTTCGATCTAATAGGTTTGTGCATCTTCTATTGTTCTATCTTTGTAGTGTGTGGAAATTTCCTTCACTTATTTACGGATGTACACATATTTCGTTCGATTTCGTTATGGGTTTGAATAGATTTCATTTATTTGAAGCTTGTGTTGTCCCTGGATCGCGTATTTGGAGAAAAAACATCGGTCATTGAAGCTGCAAAGTCATTGTTCCCATGTCGCTGGGGTGTTCTCATTTCTGGTATTCTGTTTTTGATTTGTGCGAATTTTGTGTACTTATTTACAGATCTACACATTTTTCGATCAATTTGATTATGGGTTTTGAGAGATTTCATTTATTTGTGGGTTGTGTTCTACCTGAATCGCCTTTTGTGGAGTTAATCTGTGGGTGCATGAAGATTGTTGTTGCCGAACATTGACATTGACCAGTAAGGTTGAAGCCTTTTGAGATTGAAATATATATGTATAATTAAAATAACTCATGCTATATATTAAATCATGAAATGTAGAGTAAAAATCATTTGTTCGGGCATATATTACTTTGCCACGTATATCATTTGTTCTGGAGCAATGAATTAGACAAGTAAAAAAAATTCAACAAGAAATCTGCAGTAAAATCAACTAATTTTGAGCAAACTGTTGTAATCTGTAAGAGAAAACTGAAATCAAAACCAAAACTATTGTTTTGTATTTCTCAAAATGAATAATAACATCTCTATTACCTCCTATTTATACTCTATAAGGTGAATAAGAAAAGGAAAAAATAATCATCTAAGTTAGGAAATAAATCAACCTACCAATTAACCTAAAATCACAATCAACAACTAATTACAAATTTCCATTCCTAACTTCTTTCCATTCACGATTTCCTACAAAAACTGAGAACAGGAAATGATGGACAAAAAAATACATAGAATAACGAGTTAAGATCAATTATAAAAATGAATGCTCAAAATTCAAAACAAACCTCTGCAAGATGATCCTCTCATATTCAGAGAAGTGCAATAGCCTTCAAACTTATCTGGTGAGAACTCTTATTATTGGCAAATCCAATTAGGCAGTTGACACAATCCATAAAGCAGTCTCCAACAACCTGATCAAAGTGTTCCAAGATAGCTGCACCCTCTACCATGTTAGTCAAGGTTTAAACAATCCTCTATAACTATATAAAACATACTCCACAAGAAAGAAACAGAAAAGATTGGTTCTGGCCCTGTTCTACATTCTCAAATGCACTTTCCACAATTGGTTCCAAGTCATCATCAACAGCAGCAGTGAAAATCATAAACACACTTCAACAATCAATGGCCAATTATTAGACAACCTAATTCTTCTTCATGCCACCTTGCATTTTGTATTCTGTAAACTTGTTAAAAAATATATCCTTAATTCTTTTGAAGTACACCTTCTTAAATTAATCACTAATTACTGTCATAATACTAATTCCTTTGTATAAATTTATATTACACCAATTATAGCATAGTAAGATTCACAAGATTTAATGTATATTATCTTTGATAATTAACCACAATGAAACTTCAATCCTATGATGTCTTGGCAAAATTTATAAGATTTAATGGAATAATCAACTTTTTCAGTTTTCCTTCGAGGACTATTCCAAAACTGGAGTTGATGAGAGATACTTCGCTGATGACAATCCTTAGGTGAAATTTCAAGAATAATATGGCGAAGACAATGAGTGCTTCCGATAAGGGTTGATTATTCTGGTTCGTTTCTTTAACAGAAATTTTGTGTATAGAATGTTTGCATTCAGTAGTAAATAAATAGTCTTTTAAAACAACAAAATAAGTAAACATAAAAAACTGGCATATTACTCTCTTTATTTGTATTTGACTCTCCCTTCTCATATTTGGGTTTTCTAGAATTCACTGCACTGAGATTAATGGTGGAGGTGCATGTTGATTTTAAGGTGAAAATAGAGGGAAAAACTGGGGATGCAAGAGCTATTAAGGGTGTTTTAGGGATTTCACAGACAAATCCGAGTTCCACCTGCACAGGTACTTTCTTTTCTTTCCTCATTTTTTATTTTTTTTGTTGTTGTTGGCAAATGAAAATGGTGGACACAATATCTCTTACAAATCAACCTTAATTGCTTACTACTTCTCTGCCCGTAGCTGTAACACGCAAATACATATACTGAACCCCAAAGCCCTTTAAATTCTTGTAGATAAAGCGCGCAGAACATAACATGTTCGATGAAATGCTTGTATGAATCCTGCTTTTCTTTATTTGAGGAATTATAAATTAGTCATTTATCATTCTACCGTTTTTCTTTCAACATGTGGAGGCTGTATGAGGGTTGGAATGAAATCCTGAAAATCCAGAAATTCTGAAGAATGGTATCTTATGCGGGATTTTATTGTTTCGTCACACTCATCAGCTATGCCTACACCAATAACACGAAGTTTATTAGGTGCTCTTTTACTCTAAAAAGGAATACAACTTACTTATTTTATATTATTAGTTTATGCCATGATCATTTTTCTGGGTTTAAATCATTTTGTTATAAAGTATTAGCTGGGTAATGATTCTGTTGAAACTCATACGGATTTAGATTTATAGTTACCCAAATTATTCTTGTTTAAAAAACATATTGTTCTGCCATTATCCTAAGATAATATATGGCTTAGGTTTTTACTTAAAAAAATTGAACTTTATATCATGAACAAAATTAATTTAAATTTAAGTGTTGGGTTGAAATTTAGGTGAAACTTGATATTCTTTTTCCTTCAGACCTAATATGACTTTGTCGGAAATACCGAGATTTTAATTTTTGTTTCTATCACTTTTAATGGATAATGCAGGACCAGCCAGATACTCGAGGGCTAACCAATACTATTCATCTTCTCCAGCTGGGACCGACCTTCTAACTGAACTGAAGCGGTTAGTTGAAATTCACATATTTCATATTTTTTTAACATGGGTTACATTAGCTAATCACTTTTGTTTGAAATTTAGTCAAATTGAGATTTTAATATTTTGGTAGTTGTATAAAGCTGCACTTGGCAATTGTTTCGAACAAGAAGAGTGGGGACCATTTGAATGATGCATTATGGCAAAACATTTTGAACGCCCTGGGAAGTCACCATATGCATATCATTTGGTAAGTTGATAAGATGTTTATAGATAACATATATGTCCCATTTTTTATTTTGTGCATCGTATGCTGATATTTCTTTATGTTAGGTGAGCAGATTTCATTTTCACGAAACTTTAAAAAACTTTATTAAGGTTATCTATAAGGCTACAGCTTATAATGGTTTAAAGGATAGTATCTGATTGAGATATGGAAAGCTGTAGGGATGAATCTAGAAGGAGGTCGGGTAGAATTTCTTTGGTCGTCTGAAGAGATCAACACCAGGGCTCACAAGTACTGGCCTCTTGTAATGGACGTTGCTAGGAGGAACAAACTTCCTACGATATTGAGGTAATACATTTATTTACAGTTTTTCCTTATTGAATCTGCAATCTTTGAGAATATAAGGCATTACAGTTTTTTTCTCTTTTCTTTTGTAGTCTAATTAGGTGTTGTCAAATTATGGGTCAATCCGAGCAAGATGAATTATCAGCAGCCCAAATTTTCTACCCGTGCATGCAGTTTGCTGATGTATTTTTTCTTAAGGTGACTTTTGGTTTAAGCGATGAACATCGTTGAAATACTTTTGCTATGGTTCAATTCGTGGGCATTCAGTTTTAAAACGAACGCTTCGTGAGAAGTGCATCTTATGCGGTTTAGCAATTATGAGTTGTTTCCTTCTAAGAGCTTCATTGAGTAGTTGTAGAGTCTATTATATGTCTTCTTGGTAGCATGATGTATGTCTTTCTCAAGTGCACTTCGAATTTCTTGTTTGGTTTGACCATGTGATAGCATTATCTTTCAGTATTGCTGATAGCTAATTAATATGATGTGTGGTATTATATCAGTATGTATGATGTATGCAATCTGTACCACTCTCAGTAAGATTGCTCACTTTATTTTTTTTGATAGGTAAGACCGCTCACTTCATGTAGGGTTTCTT